AGACAATGGTAGTCAATCTCTGATAACAGAAACTTGCCTAAGACAATGTTAGTCAGTCTCTAGTAACAGCGACTTGCCTAGAGCAATGGTAGTCAGTCTCTAGTAACAGCAGCTTGCTTAGAATGATGTTAGCCAGTCTCTAGTAACAGCAACTTCCTTTCGTCCCGCCTGCTCCACTCGACGTCCAGCAAAACAGGACCCAAGGCAAGGCAGGTCCGAAGGGGGAGTCCTCAGGGCCAGGGCAAGCCAAGAACAGTCCTCAAAACAAGGCAAAAGCAATCCTCGAAGCCATCCACGTCCCAACAGCCTGTGAAGGTTTGTGTCCCTTTAAATTTCCACTTTTCCTTTCCTGAGGCAACTTGTAGCTTGTTCTTTTGCAGCCTGGCCTCTCCACGCTGACTCACTTCTTCTAGAATGTGTGTAAGTTCCGAGCTTCCGGGAAAACCAGCTTCCAAATATAAATACTTAGTACTTTGGGATTAAAATGCAATGTTCCCCATGTAACTGAATAATGATGCCCCATGTAACTGAACCTGAGAAACTGGCGGTGGCCGGGAATGATAGGGATGTGTAAGTATGCCTCTGTGAGGTCTATGGATGTTAGAAAGTCCCCCTTTCGGATGCTGCCTAAGATGGACTGAAGTGTCTGCATTTTGAACCTTCGGTATGCCAGATAAAGGTTCAGGCCTTTTAGGTCTAAGATTGCTCTCCATCCTCCCGAGGTCTTGGGGACCACAAAGAGAATGGAGTAAAATCCGCGACCCCGTTGAGCCGGAGGTACCGGTTCTATGGCCCTTATGTCTAATAAGTGACGGATGGCCTCCTGCATAAGACCTTTCCTTAGTAAGTTTTTTGAATGGGGGCAAGAAATGAACCGTCTTGGTGGACTGGAAATGAATTCCAGGGATAGACCGTGTCGAATGGTGTCCAGGACCCAGGTGTCTGTGGTGGTGACCTCCCATTGAGTGACAAATAGGGACAGCCTGCCCCCTATGGGAGGATCTGCTGGGGAGTCACTTCCTGCGGAAGGGACGTCCCCCGCCTCGAAAGGGCCGTTTGGACTGAAACTGTTGCCTGGGTCTTGAGGCCGGTCTATCGACCGGTCTTGTCTGGGAGTGAAGGGTCGTGAAGGTTGTGTGGTCGAAGGAGTAGGAGCAGATCGAAAGAACTATCTACGGTTATAAGGATTGGTCTGCCTATCGGACCGTTTGTTAAGGTGGGCCAGAATCTTCTTCTTATCCTTATTCTCAGTCAGAAACGGGGCTAAGGCATCCCCGAATAATTTGCTACCCTGGTATGGGGCTGCTGCCAAACACCACTTGGACTTGGCATCTGCCTGCCAATGTCTTAGCCATAGCATGCGGCGGGCAGTCACGTTGGACGCCAAGGACCTGGAGGAAAACCGTGCAGCGTGTAGAGTCGCATCGGAAGCGTATTCCGTCGCGGCCACTAACTTGCTCAGGTCCTGATGTGTACGGATATCGTCCGGTGGGATCTTGGCCTGGAGCTGATGAAGCCAGATGAGGGCGGACCTAGTGAAAAACGAGGCTGAAGTAGAAGCCCTAATAGACCACGCCGCCGCCTGGTGTGTCCTCCTAAACGCCAGTTCTGATCTGCGTTCTTCAGTTTTTAAGGCCTCAGACATATCTCCTGAAATATTTGTAGGGGAGAAAAGGTGGGACAGGGGCTCATCCACCATGGGCACGTCCAGTGCCTCTGCTAAATCTGAGGCCATGCTAAACAACTTTTTATCGTTGCCACCTGGAAGAGGAAAGGTGCCCGGGGAAGCCCATTGCTTCTTAACTGCATTGAGGAATAATGGTGGACAGGGGACATGGTGTTGTGTGACTACCGGTTCGACGAAAACGGGGTCCACCTCTGAATCCGTTGCAGTTGTCGCTGGAGCGGACCAGTCAGGTCCCACATGCGCTGCAGAACTAGGCTTGCGAAGCAGGGGTAGAAAGAGAGATGGATTAAATAGACCGCCGAACGGGGGCGGATCCGGGGCCGCTTCCTCCTCCGACCGACCACGAAGCGTCAAGCGCCTGCTCCTGCTCCGGGGTTAGTGAGACCCCACTATAGGAGGAATGGGAGGGGGAGGGAGGATTGTGAGAGCTCTGATGAGCTGGGCGAGAAAGAGGAAGGGAAAGCAAGGAATCTGCCCTGGTTACCAGTGGAGACCTGGTCGCAAGGGCCCTCTCCGCCACCTGAGCCACCAGGACCTGGAGCCTATCCTCTAGAAGAGGAAGCGCAGACTCCTCCTCTCTGAGACCCGCGGCTGTGGGCGTGAGGGTGGCTTCTGGGGTCTGCTGGACCCGTGGGGTGGTCGGAGACCTGAATGTATGTGCGTCAGGTTCCAGCCTGGGCTGACCAGAGGAAGTAGAAGCCTCTACCGGAGACCAGACACCCTGGGCAGAAGAAGAGAGACCGAGAGGCAAGTCGAAAAAGGTGTATTTAGTTTGTGCAGTCTCGGCCCTGGCCTGTTTTTGAGCCTTTGAAAACTCTTTTTCCAATGCCTGGTGTCTCCTGCTGGCCTGTTTTTCAACCAATTTGGAGGTTTCTCCCCCAGAGACAGCCTTGGGTTTGACCTTGGCTGAGATCCTACCAGCAGCCTCTTGGCTAGGGGACCTGTGCCTTTTCCGGACAGAGGAAGGAGGGGAGGCGTCCTTGGATTGGGAGGCTGTGTTATCCTCCATGCTGGTATAAAATCTTCAGGTGCACGAGAAGGTACCCCTGGGAAAAGGATCAAATTGGCTAATAAGGGTGTAGGGCAACGGCTGGTAAGAACTGCCCTACCCCCCCCCCCGGTCACCGAACCGGAGGTATCCAAAAAACCAGTTCTACTTGCAGCCGCTATGATTTCCCCCTAGAGGGTGGATTGCGGCCTGCTAGTGAGGCTTGCTGTGTTGCCAGGCCAGCAATGCAAAAAGATGGCAACTAATACAGAGTCAGAGGCTGGGAATTACTGTAATCAGCTAGCCAAGTGGTGACCAGGACTGGAGACACCAGAGGGCCCAATTAAATTAATTGGGCCTATGCAAGGAATGAGAGAGGAAGGGCGAATGCCACCAAAGGAGTTTCCAGGAATGACAGGAGAAAGATCCCAGGGAAACCTTGAATACCAGGAACCCGAGAAGGGCCTTGATCAGAAAAAGGCCTCAGTAAGACCTTGGGCTGTAGCACGAGGAGCCTTCAAAATGGCAGCCTGGGAGGATGACGAAGCCTCCAAGATGGCGGCCGTAACTGGTGGGCTCCTGTCAAGGCCTGGGCCCTCTACCTAGATGAAATCTTTTCCAGGGGCTTGTACAATGAAGGGGAGATGCCCCTTAAAGGAAGGCTAACGAAAGAATTCGGGTGGAAATTCCTTCCCACACCCACCCACCCTGCAGCCTCCGAATGGCTGCAATGCTCACCCAATCGGACGCACGATCCTCAGAGAGAGACGGGGTGAAACGGCCTCCCCAGCTGATTGACGGCGTTTCAAGAACGCTGGAAGCCTCCGGTGCGATAATTTGCAAGCCGAGGCCCTGCAGCCTCCATGAGGCTAATCCGAACGCTGTAAGGCTGTCGGAGCTGCAGCCGCAAGCTCTGACCACGAGCTGAGCTGGAGGAAGGAGGGGGGGGAAATTGCCCAGCGCTGAGCTAGGAAGAAAGGGAAAGAAAAGCTCCGACGCCGAGGGTGGGCTGGGAGGAATGGGGGAGGGAATTTGTAACAGCGCTGTGCTGGAAAGGGAAGGGAGAAACAGAAGCCTCCGCTTGTTGCTGAATCCCAATGGGGATCAGATAAAGGCAGAGTCCTCTAGAGGAGCGCTGGTCCCAGTGCTACTCTGAGGGCTAGAAGCTATTGGAAGTTATTAAAGTTATTAGAAGACTAATGGATAATCCACTAATAGGTTAAGATCTACCTGCCTGTGAGCCAAACATGCACGTCTGTTCTGGGCAAGATCAAGTCGAAACTGGGAAAACAGGCCCAGGACAGGCGTGGCAAGTTTGGCTGACTTGATCTGATTGGGCAGGAAGATTAAGTTAACCCATTAGTGGATTATCCATCTCCAGTGTTGGAGAAGGTGCAAGTTTCAAGAGTTCCGCTTTCTTGGAAGGCTTAACTGAGGCAGGTCCTTACAGAAATTCTCAGTTCCCGGTACAACAGGGGAAACTGCAATATTTGGTATTATGGAAAGGCTACCCTTTAGCTGATGCAGAATGGGTGGCAGCGACAGATGTGAGGGTAGCTAAGTTAGTGTGCAAATTTCATGCCGAACTTCCATGTTGACCCCAGTAGGGAGACCTGGCAGCAATATCTAATGATGTGTGCAGCATTGTGTTTTATCTCCCAGGACTATCATTCTTCTGGAGGGTCAGCATCTCAAAACTGACTCGGCTCCCTCATTGCCTGCACCCGATTCCGGCTCACATTTTGCCAAACAGAAATGGGAGGGGGGGTGAATTCCTAGGGAGGGGGGAGGCTCTAGAATGCATGAGTGCCTGCTGTTGCCAGTGAGATGTTATCCACCAAGGTCAAGTTATGAGAAATGTTGAGCATTATGGAACTGCTTTCCCATAATGAAAGAACTGAATTCAATTGGTGAAGTATGAACTATGGGTGGCTCAGAGGCGGAAAAGGGGTTTTACCTGTGGGAATTTTCAAAGGAAAATCCCAGAACTGACTTTGTTTCTGCCGTGCCTAGACGGATCTTTCAATAAGGCTAGTTTTAAAGAGCTGGGAGTTTCTTTTGTTGAATGTGGCAAATGAGATGGTTGACAAGGAGGCCTTTAGTTTACTAGATTTACATCTCATTTTCATGCCATACAGTAAGATCACCTAGGTAAAAGGGAGGATGAGAAGCAAGGGTTTCTTTCACAGCAGTTTATGCTGGAGAAATAAGGAGCAAGAATCGAGCAAGGGATTTACAGCTGCTGCTCGACAGAAATACCCAGAAATCCATTCCCTTTCTAAGGCAGGCTGAAGAGTGAGAGGCAGCAGCTCCAGAAACAAAGGGAAAAAACAAGGGTTTCATTAATAAACAGTAGAACCAACTTTCTTGGAAAGGGGGGGGGGGGTGCTGTCTGATGCCAGGCAGGTACTTGTCATGGATGGCAAGGAAGAGACTAACCTCCTTCAATGCCATAGTTCTGTGGCAGGGGATAATCCTGCTAGGTGTTGCCTCTCTGAAAGTAGACACACCTGTGAAGGAAAGAGTCACTCGATGCCGTTGTTTGGTTTTCATTCATGATGGAATCGATCACTGCTGCAGCTTCTTCATTAGCAGTGACCCGTGGAGTCTGCAACTTCACAGCACAAGACTGGAGGGAGCCATCCGTGAGCTGAACCGAATGGTCGCCTTGGGACAGTTCTGGCTTTGAGGTCTCTAATACTCCACAAGTGGGAATTCTTTCTCTGGTGGGCACAGGAGCCTTCCTGAAAACACACAGGGTGAACTTTCACTTTCTCCAAACGGTGAAGTCAAGTAGCAAAGCACCTCCCACAGCAGCCCAAAGTGGAGAGAACCCTCTTTTTTTCCAACGGGAACCCTGCACTGCTGGCATCTATCCATTTTAAAAGAGCAAAGAGACTCTTGAATCAAATCACAGCATCCATACAGTTTTCTTGGCAGGGCTACAGAAGTGGTTTTGCATCCTTTTCTAACAGCATGTTGATTTCCTTTCCCAGAGTCCCTAATGGTATGGATTGATCTTAGAATCTAAGCAAGATCAGTGTTGGTTCATACTCGTCTGGGGACCCACATATGAATTTGAATATCATTGACTGGACTGGGAACTTGAAAGAACATTCCATAAGGAGATAAAAGCAAACTTCTTCTGTAATACTGCATGGATGCCGTCACCAAAGATTTGAGGGCATCTTTGCCTTTAATTCTCCTTTAAAATAGAATCCAATGCATATCACTACACTCTATGAAATGCCCTAAAAGGAAGGTTTTAATTAGGAAAGCCCCATTCCTTCTAAATCTATTCCCAACACTCTCAGCACGACATAAATTTGCCTTTTGAGAAGCTGCTATCTCCATTTTCGTCAAGCATTAGGGGCACCTTTTGGGCCAAGCCCACATCTAAGTAATTGCGCCCTAGGTTCAAGATCTGAACCTAGCAGAGCTGGGAGAAGCCTTGGAGATCCTAACAAACCATGACTGACAATGTTCAACTTCAGAGTGCTTAATCTGGTTTCATACACCCACAAATGCCACAAACTCTCATCCTCTTAGCTGTATAAACCAAGCTGTCAAAAAGCCATCAAATATCTACTTTTAAGACTAATTCCCAATTCTATTTTTCCTCCCCAGGAACATAGCAGTAACCAGATCTCAAATAAAGATTTTACGGAGCAAAGCTATATAGACATATCCTGGCGACACCTCTAGGGTAAAAATATTCAGCACTTCGATCACTTATAGTGAAGTAGCCTGCCTCAGTTTCAGTGCTGTCTCTCCGTAAAAACATCTGAATATCTATAACCTCACCAACTTCCATGACTGGAGTGCACCAGTGCCAACAGCTTCTCTGGGGCAGCATCTTCTGCGTCCTCTGCTTCCTCTTGAGCATCTGTGATGTCACGAATGATAATGGAGTCTTGGCAGCCTGGGCCATGCTCTGAAAGGGCTGTCTAAGGGCACAAAGAAACCAGCAGTGTATCCAACACCCTTATCATCGTTTTTCTTATTCAGACAATTGTTAGAATAGTAAAACTATTATTGCTCTGGCAATTAGGAGAATTCCTAGTGAAACTGAAATACATCATTAAAAAAAATTACAAGCATTATTAAGAGGTAGTTTTATAACCAAATAAGCTAGAATTAATTCAACATAAACTGCCTTAGGAGGATAAAGGAGAAAAACAAAACAAAACAAATCTTACAGTTTCACAGTCTTCCACGGGAATGTGCATGTACTGGTGGGTGTATTTTGCAGGCGAAGAGTCTGAAGCATCAGCCAAAGGCCTGGGAGAAAAACACAGAGAGCTCTATTGCTATGTAGGTGGTTGGACAGGTGAGCTGCAAAGATTTGTATGCAGAAACCACTGCATGCACGTAATGGAAGTATTCCCCAGTAAGAAAATCATCACTAGAGAAATGGCTTGGTAAAAACAAAAACAGGCTTTGATCAACTTGAGTTTTTCACCTCTCAGACATCTAAACAGTCCAAGAAAATAAATTTGCAGAGGGAATCTTTACTCCCTTTTTAAAAGAAACAAATAAATTAACATTTGCATGCTTCTGAAGGATGCTTTTTAAGACATGGGACAAACTGAAAAAATGTTCATTTGATTACAACGGTCTTAATGCAACTTCTTAATTTTGCTGTATATCTATCCTGATTTAGAAAGCAGCCCTGATGAATCAAATATTGTTTACCCCTTTACAGCTACCAAACTGATTGGAGGATTACGGGTTTTTTTGTTTGTTTTTTTAATTGAAAATTTTATAAAAGTTTTACAATATACCTCCCCCCCTCCCCAAACCCCACCTTCCCCTCCCCCTCCCCCGACTTCCCAGAGCCAATCACAGGGTTAACAATACAATAACCATACTCTGTCTAACATTAATCACTATTAGATTAACAAATCTATAACATCCTTTAACTCTCTTTTAAACAAACATATTAAACACCATAATTATAACATCTTATTAGTAATTATAAATAATAATAAACTACATTAACACTCTAAGGTTTACTCAAAAAACAAATGAAACTTTTTAGTTCCATATTTACTCTCAATATAATCTATCCATCTTCTCCAAACCAAAATATATCTTTCTTGTGAATAATCCTTCACATAGGCAGAAATCTTAGCCATTTCTGCTAAATTTGAAACTTTGAATACCCAATC